GAGCAAAGGAATGAATGGAAAATCATGATCGCCGATGTCTGTCGTAGATCTGGCACTGGATGATGATGATGATCCATGTTCTGTCGTCTGTTTTTGTCTCCACTTTCTAATTATTAATCCCTACCAAACTGAAAATAGTTAATGTGTCCTGCGCGTGTGTCAAATTACCTAATGCAGTAGCGAGCCCCGTAAAACATCAAAACAAAAGAAACGTTCGTCTGCCCGCGAGGAAAGGATAAAAACAATCCTTCAATTTGAGCTTTTTCTCACGTTTAGCATGAGGGTCTAAAAGTTGGATGACCAACAGAATGTAAAATCCCTCAATAAAGTTCACTACAGAATGAGGTTCCAACACGTTTTCTTTGATGTTAGCATGATGTGAGGCAAAAAATAATTGGGGATTTTTAGCTGTATAGGTGTAGATTCTATACCTAAACCATTTTAATTACTTATTTTCATCAACACAACATTTTAACGCAGGTATGGTTCAAAAGACGGGTGAGTACTTTTCGAAACTCACGTGGAGACGTCTAGACGGTCTTGGGGGGGGGGGGGGGGGACTAAAAGCTTACACTGACATGTTGAGGCAAGGGGGTGCCATTGTTTTACATTCAATGAGCAATTTGCACGTTAGTTTACTGTAAATCATTCATTGTAGTGATCCTGTGTGTGCACCCAAAGGGCGGTGTTTATTTATAGGGTCCAAATAAAGAAACGTTTTTTATTACTGGATTTTTGTTTATTGCTTGTTTACTTTTGTCTGACCACGGATACAACAATATAAGAAGAAATCGCTGTGTTCAATCTTCTCAGATCTTTGCACACTGCTCTAAAAGTTGGATGACGAACAGAACTAAAAGTCTATTTACAAAGGTCTCTGCAAACTAAGGTTCCGGCACGTTTTCTTTGATGCAATCTAAAAGCGGGTCAAAATGTAAAAGGGAATTTACAGCATGCACCTAAAACTTTACAAAGTTTGCACATTTTCCTTTTACACCACGCATCAACGTTCGCCTAAGAAACACGATTCAAGAGACGGGGTGAGTACTTTTCGAGCCTAACGTGGAGCAAGTGGAGACGCCTAGGGGATGAATTCGACAGGGTGGTGTCGCTGTCTCAAAATGAGTCAATTGAAGGCAAGGTTACTCTAGGTCATTTATGCTAATGATCCTCTGTATGCATCAAAAGAGACGTTTTTAATATACGGTCCAAAGAGAAAAACTTTTTTTTATTACTGGATAAAGATTTTAGTTTGATCGTTGGCCTGCAGAAGTGCCATGCAAAGTTTCATGGGCACAAGTTTAATAAATTAAATGCGCTAGAATTTTTTAAAGCATATTATGCTTGCCTGTACTACAACTCTGCCCTCATAATATCAAATATTCGTTCTTTTCTGGATATTTTGGTTGGGAATACAAGCTTATTGCTTGAAATCTATCTCTTTAGGATGAAAATGGAAACCGTATGCATGTTTTCGACGAAACTTTCTGCCACATAGTAAGGAGCAGGTCTAGGCTTTGTAAGAGTTAATCTGTTTGCTAAGACTTCCTGGTCACGAACTCAGGGCGGGAGACAAATCAAAATAGTTCAGTAGAATAAGGCCGGTTAGGGGTTGGGGATTTGTGTGTAGTGCATGGGGGGAAAAGAAGTGAGAGAGAGGTTGGGGTTTTATGTGATTAAATCAAAAAATCTGGTTTTGGAGGGGAGATACATGACAAAAAAACAGTAACAGTTAAGGCTATTTAGGCTGCATGAGAAAGAGACTTTTGATTTTCGTGTTTTGATTTATAGAGATTACAGGGGAAAGAGGCGGGTATGTGTGTAGAGGGTGTATAGGTTTTTAAAAAAAACAACAACAAGGGAAAGAGGATGGAATTTTGACTTTTTTGTGTGCATAACAAGGG